CCCTTCCTGACCTAGGCAGGGAAGGGGGAAAGAGAAGTGGAGGGCAGGTAGACCCTTGGAGGAAGAGGTGGAGTTGGAGCAGGGCCTTGGAGGGAAGAGGTGGGGCAGGGATGGGACCTTGGGGGGAAGGGGCGGGGCAGGGGAGGTTGCAGCACTCCGACTTGAGTGTCCATTTTTAAAATATTCCCAAATTGGCAACCCAAGTCGCTAGCTGAGAGGTTGTGAAAATTTTTAGCAAACATAGAAATACCCTTTTTCACAGCAGCGGATTTACAAACTGCCAATAAAGAAATTATGATTTTTATGTTTATAGGAGTAAGGGAATTGTTGGCCCCTTACTGAAACTTAATGGGTTGGCCATTAGTTAGGCCGTCTCCTAACACCGAAAGAAAGGGGAAGGGTCAATGAGAAATGAAGATCCTGAGACTGACAAGGGGTGGGAGGGGGCAATGTTTGGGTCACCTTTCATGGCTTTCAGGCCACTGTGTGTCTCTCCTTTGTTTTTATATTAGCTTGCTGTTTAATAAATTAGAGTTGTTCTTAACTGGGCTGTAGGCAATGAGGGAAACTGGAAGCTTCCAGCAGTGGAGGGGAGAACACAGGGCCCAGGCAATGGGGACAGCTGTCCTGAGGGTGGGGGATCACAAGATTGGGGAGTTGAGCACCTCAACTTAATGGGTCTGAGCCATTAGTTAGAGTCGTCTCCTAACACCGCAGAAGAACAGTCAGGGCTGAGGAGGCGTCAATGAGAAATGAAGATCCTGAGACTGACAAGGGGTGACATGTTTTCCTTTCATCTTTCCCACTTTTCTCTTTGTTTTTATATTACTTGCTGTTTAATAAATTATATTTGTTCTTAACTCTGTGCAATGATGAAGGAAGCTTCCAGAGTGGAGAGAACACCCCACAATGGGGACAGCTGTCCTGAGTGATCACAAGATTGGGGGTTGAGCACCTCAGGAGCCCTGGGCCCAGCCTTGGAGTTACGGGGGTCCAGAGTGGAAGCAGGCGGGGGGGAGGCGTCCTCGATATCATGCAGGCCTCTGGGTAAAGGACTCAGATCCTTTTGCTTGCCAGTTCCTCTGGGGCTTGGTAGAAGCCAGAAAAGTTCCCCACACTAGGAGGAGTGTTACCCCCTCTTACCTCTGTGCATATTGATTGGTTTCTAGTAAAGTTAATTGGGATTATAGGGGCAAGTGTCAGAGCGGGCATCAGCGAGAGTTGTTGGCCACCCTCTGAGGCCACCAAATTTGGTGGTGAGAACCCCTGGACAAGATGCTCATGATGGTCCCTTGTGACCCCGGAGCCTGTGAGTGTAACAGGAGCCGGGCACAGGGATGCCGATATATGGAGAGTTGATCGCTAGGACCCGGGAGCGGCTGGGGGGCGGCTCTGGGGGGAGCGATCGCCGGGCTCAGGCCCGGCCCAGGAAGTGACTCGCAGCCGCTGCGGGGACTCTGGCTCCCGGCGAGATCCCCGATCCCCGGCGGCTGGTGCTGGGAGCCCGGAGCCCGGGCTGCAGCCGGGAGAGGGGAACCTCCAGCCGGGCCCTTCCCGCTGCTCCCCGGGAGCCTCTCCCAGGGCAGAGCCCCCAGCCCGGCCATGGCCGCTTCCCGGCCCGGCCCCTGCCCCGGGGGGGCCCCGCTCGGGGGGAAGGTAAGAGAGACCCTCCCATCCCCCCCTTGCAGCGGGTCCCATCCCCGTCACATCTGGGCTGCAGGGGGAGGAGGATAAAGAGGGGCCGGAGGCGGGTGCAGGGGATGCCGGGGGAGGCTGGGATGGGGGCAGGGGTGCACGGAAGGGAAGATGGGGCAATGGAGGAGGATCGGGGACTGTGGGGCTGAGGGGAGCGAGGTCGGGAATGGGGGAAGACGTGAGTGGGGGGCACAGCGAGGGAAAGGGGGGATGTGGGGAGGCGGGCGGAGAGAAGCTCTTCTCAGCTTTGGGAGCGATCAGGGGACTAACCCCTCAGGGTGCAGCAGCTACACGGAAAAAAACCCAAACCCCCCTCAAACACCCCCCCCCCCCACGACACACACACCCCGCTCTGAGTGTGTTATTGTCAGACACCCCTGTGGTGGTGGGTTCCTTGTGCCCTGAGTGTTGGGGGCTGCCCAGGGCCCTGGTCTGATTTCCCTGTAGGGTTCAGATCTCAGCTACACCAGAGTCAGACCGGAGTCACTGCTGGCTCAGGCAGGGGGGTGCACGGATGGGTCAATGGGATCAGCCTCTTCCTGCCTGTCCCTGGGGGCTGCCGGGGGAGTCCAGGGCAGCTCAATCTTCAGGTGATGCCACCAGAGGGCTCCAGGTATTGCTAAGGGAGAGGGGTTTACACTGCAATGGGGGGAAATGTCCCAAAGGGGCCCTTTTGATTCTTCCCTTTTCTTTAGCATTTGGCTCAGAGATGCTGTTACTGGGAGGGTCTGAAGAGTCTGGGGGGAATCGGAGTGTGACAGGATAGAAGCCCCTTCTGTAACCTCCCTCTCGCCCTGAAAGGTGAGGAATCAGGTCCACGTTTCACTAAAGATCGGCCAGTCTTCCAGGAGACAGAGAAGGGAAATGGCTGTGTTGGAGCCAGCTCAGGTAGGGGATTTTCAGGGAGCTGCTGGGCGGGGGAGGGAGGAGTCAGCGTTTGATAAACCTACTGATTTACTAAGTAGGCCCGTTGTAGCAGGGAAAGGGGAAGGGGACATTCCCCCATTTCTCAGGCAGGATATAACCACCTCGGCAGGGCTGGGAACATTTTTCAGGCTCCCAGTGCTGGAGCCTGACCCCATTTGCCCGGGGCTGCTGTGAAATACGAAGGGAAGCTGTCGGGATTCCTGTCCCCGTCCCCGGCTCAGAGCTCTGCTTCCTGTCCCAGTCTGTGGCTGGCAGGCGTGTGGGAAATGAGAAGATCCTGGCGTGCTCCGTGTGCTGGGGCGGACAGGGAGCTCTCACCTTCTCCGCCCCCTGAAGCCTCCTGGCTGCTCTGAGCAGGGTGGGGGTGGGATTTTGCTACTCTGGCCCTCCCACCGCTTCACATTTTTTTTTCCTTTCCCATGAGTAGTGGGATTGTGGCTGGGGCAGCAGGTGCTGAGTGGGGGACTCTTGGTGTTTCAGATGCCGGTGACCTTCGAGGAGGTGGCTATTTATTTCACCCAGGGGCAGGGGGCTCTGCTGGACCCCGCTCAGAGAGCCCTCTACAGGGACGTCATGCAGGAGAACTACGAGACCGTGACCTCACTGGGTAAGGGATTCCCGTCCTCTCAGTTATTAGAAGCTGTGGGGTGTGTGTGTCTTAATGTGGTCAGGTTCTTCCCTGGTCAGTTCGAGCAGAGGCGAATGGGTTCCATAATGCACAGCTGCCATGTGAGAAATACATGCATTTCGATGCCCTCTCCACTGGGACACGGGAGTCAAAACCCAATGGACAAGCTAAACCATCCCCACCCCTCCATCTTTCAAAGGGACATAAATCCGCATTGTCTTGTCTGTATTGTTTCTTGACTGCCCATACAATCCCTGTTCATCTCCCTCCTTGGGAATAGCTCCAGGCATGAGGAGGGCTCTGGGCTCTGCAGGTTTAGAAAGAGGCAGGGTCTTAAGTGCAGACCTGTGTGTGAGTCAGCAAGGCCCCCAGAGCGCACAGATCCTGGGAACGCCTAGTGAGGGTGTAGTAATAATTCAACTCACCTCCCCAGACAACGTCCTCTGCGCAAGGGGGCTCAGTGACCCTGTTCCCATCCTCTTGGATTCCACCTTCCTCCAGCAGAGCACAGGGACAGGTTCCACTCACGGAATGTCCTTTGTGAGAGATCCTCCACCAATGGTCCATGCACCCTGATCTGGACTCATTTCACCTTCTGCACAGGATTTCCCATTCCCAAACCTGAGCTTATCGCCCGGCTGGAACGAGGGGAAGAGCTGTGGGTGTCCGATCTCCAGGATTTCAAGGACAGAAGGCTTCGGAGATGCACCAGCACAGGTGAGGCCTGACAGAGACATTCCATCTAGGGAATGAAGGAAAAAGTTGAGAATCCCAAAATATGATGTGAGTAAAGCCCTCAGTTCTTCTTCATCTCACCGAGAGCAGGGCTATGGTCAGCAGATATTGCTCACGCCATTCCACCCTTCCCGTCTCTCCTTCCTTGTAAATGTTAGGGTGGGATGTGGAGGCAGAATCCAATTGCTCAGTCTTTGTGTTGGCTTTTCCCTCAGTGCTATTCCTCTTTCTCCCCAGCACAATGACTCCTTCTGGATTGTGTCCTTCCCAGCAGGTGCTGAGCGAGGGAGTGAGAAGAAGGAGGGGAATCATCATGAGGCAGCTCCTGGGGAAGTGGAACCACAGGGGACCTTTTTGGGAAGAGCTGAAGGGAATTTTTCCCCTTGCTGGAATCAGGGAGAAGCCTGGGGAAATTGGCACAGGACAGAGAGGCTTCTGATAAAGCAACCCAGGAAGAAAGTGGATGAATCTGTGAATGGTGGGAGAGGAGACGAGAATCCCAGAGAGCAGCAGACAAATCCCAAGGAAGAGACACCCTGGCACTGCCTTGAGTGTGGGAAAGGATTCATTGTGAGATCACAACTTGTTACACATCAGACAGTCCATACGGGAGAGAAACCATTTCAATGCTTGGACAGTGGGGAAAGCTTCAATAAGCGCAGAGATCTTAATAACCATGGGAGAAGCCACACTGTAGACAAGCCCATTCAATGCGTTGAATGCGGGAAATGTTTCAGTTCAAAGTCAGCACTAAATTCACATAAGAAAAGCCACACAGGAGAGAGACCCCATAAATGTTTGGACTGTGGAAAAAGTTTCACATGGAGGTCGGCGCTTGTTAATCATCAGGCAATCCACACAGGAGAGAGACCCCACAAGTGCTTGGACTGTGGGAAAAGTTTCACTTGGAGATCAGCTCTTGTTTATCATCTGAAAATCCATACAGGAGAAACCCCACAAGTGCTTGGACTGTGGGAAAAGTTTCATATGCAAGTCAGATCTTGCTGATCATCAGGCAATCCACACAGGAGAGAGACCCCACAAGTGCTTGGACTGTGGGAAAAGTTTCATACGAAGGTCACGCCTTGTTCAACATCAGGCAATCCACACAGGAGAGAGACCCCACAAGTGCTTGGATTGTGGGAAAAGTTTCATACGAAGATCACGCATTGTTCAGCATCAGGCAGTCCACACAGGAGAGAGACCCCTCAAGTGCTTTGACTGTGGGAAAAGTTTCAAGTGGAAATCAGTCCTTATTCGTCATCAGGCAATGCACACAGGAGAGAGACCCCACAAGTGCTTTGACTGTGGGAAAAGTTTCAAGGAGAGGTCAGACCTTGTAAAACATTGGGCAGTCCACACAGGAGAGAGACCCCACAAGTGCTTGGATTGTGGGAAAAGTTTCATAAGAAAGTCACACCTTGTTCAACATCAGGCAGTCCACACAGAAGAGAGACCCTACAAGTGCTTGGACTGTGGGAAAAGTTTCAAGCAGAGGTCATACCTTGTAAAACATCGGGCAGTCCACACAGAAGAGAGACCCCACAAGTGCTTTGACTGTGGGAAAAGTTTCAAGCAGAGGTCACACCTTGTTAAACATCAGGCAATCCACAAAGGAGAGAGACCCCACAAGTGCTTTGACTGTGGGAAAAGTTTCATGCAGAGGTCACACCTTGTTCAACATCAGGAATTCCACACAGGAGAGAGACCCCACAAATGCTTGGATTGTGGGAAAAGTTTCATAAGAAAGTCACACCTTGTTCAACATCAGGTAATCCACACAGGAGAGAGACCCCACAAGTGCTTGGACTGTGGGAAAAGTTTCATACGAAGGTCAGAGCTTGTTTATCATCAGGCAGTCCACACAGGAGAGAGACCCCACAAGTGCTTGGACTGTGGAAAAAGTTTCATACAGAGATCAGCGCTGGTTAAACATCAGAGAATCCACACAGGAGTGAGACCCTATAAGTGCTTGGACTGTGGGAAAAGTTTCACATGGAGACCGGCACTGGTTAAACATCAGAGAATCCACACAGGAGAGTGACTCTACAAGTGCTTGGACTGTGGGAAAAGTTTCAGACAGAGATCATACCCCATTAAAAATGGGAGAATCCACACAGGATGAACGTGGTCCACTTCCAGTGACTGATGAGGAGGGGTCAATACCAAGAGAGGGAAAATTGCTTTTGTAGTGAGCCAGCCACTCCCAGTCCCTCTTCAGGCCCAAATTGTTGGTTTTAAGTTTGCAAATGAATTGTAGCTCTGGAGTTTCTTTCTGAAGTCTGTGTTTGAAGTTTTTTGGTTGAAGGATGGCTACTTTTAAATCTGTTATTGAATGTCCAGGGAGAGTGAAATGTTCTGCTACTGGCTTTTGTGTGTTACCGTTCCTGATGTCGTATTGGTGTCCATTTATTCTTTTACATAGAGACTGTCCGGTTTGGCCAATGTACGTGGCAGAGGGGCATTGCTGGCCCATGATGGCATATATCACATTGGTAGATGTGCACGTGAATGTGCCCCTGATGACATGGCTGATATGGTTAGGTCCTATGATGGTGTCGCTAGAGTAGATATGGGGACAGATTTGGCAATGGGATTTATTGCAGGGATTGGTTCCTGGGTTAGTGTTTCTATGGTGTGGTGCTGGTGAGTATTTGCTTCAGATTGGGAGCTGTCTGTAAGGGAGGACTGGCCTGCCTCCCATGGTCTGTGAGAATGAGAAATCCTTTTCCAGGATAGGTTGTAGATCGTTGATGATGTGCTGGAGAGGTTTTAGCTGGGGGCTGTACATGATGGCCAGTGGTGTTCTGTTATTTCCCGTGTTGGGCCTGTCCTGTAGAAGGTGACTTCTGGGTATCTATCTTGCTTTGTCAGTCTGTTTCCTCAGGAGCTGGAGGCATGTAGGTAAGCATAGAGGTCACTAGGTTTCCAGTATAGGGTGGTATTTATGTGACCATCACTTATTTGCACTGTAGTGTCCAGGATCTCTTGTGTGGACTGGTCCAGGCTGAGGTCGATGCTGGGGTGGAAATTGTTGAAATCCAGGTGGAATTCTTCAAGGGCCTCCTTCCCATGGGTCCATAGGATGAAGATGTCATCAATGTAGCGCAAATAGAGGAGGGGGCGCTAGGGGACGAGAGATTTGAGGAAGCGTTGTTCTAAGTCAGCCATAAAGATGTTGGCATGCTGTGGGGCCATGCGGGTACCCCTAGCAGTCCCGCTGACTTCAAAGTATAAATTGTCCCCAGGTCTGAAATGGTTGTGGGTGAGGACAAAGTCAGAAAGCTCAGCCACCAGGTGTGCCGTGGCCTCATCAGGGATAATGTTCCTGACAACTTGTAGCCCATCCTCATGTGGAATATTGGTGTAAAGAGCTTCTACATCCATGGTGGCCAGGATGGTGTTTTCAGGAAGATCACCAATACGTTGTAGTTTCCTCAGGAAGTTGGTGGTGTCTCGAAGATAGCTGGGAGTGCTGGTAGCATAGGGTGTGAGGAGAGAGTCCACATCGCCAGATAATCCTGCTGTAAGAGTGCCAATACCTGAGATGATGGGGTGTCCAGGATTTCCAGGTTTATGGATCTTGGGTAGCAGATAGAATACCCCTGGTCGGGGCTCTAGGGGAGGGTCTGTGTAGATTTGTTCCCGTACTGTAGCAGGGAGTTTCTTGAGCAGTTGGTGTAGTTTCTTTTGGTACTCCTCAGTGGGATCGGAGGACAGTGGCCGTTAGAATGTGGTAGAATTCTAGAATATGAGGGTTGGAAGGGACCTCAGGAAGTCATCTAGTCCAACCCCCTGCTCAAAGCAGGACCGATCCCCAATTAAATCGTCCCATCCAGGGCTTTCTCAAGCCTGACATTAAAAACTTCTTAGGAAGGAGATTCCACCACCTCCCTAGGTAACGCATTCCAGTGTTTCACCACCCTTCTAGTGAAAAAGTTTTTCCTAATATCCAACCTAAACCTCCCCCACTGCAACTTGAGACCATTACTCCTTGTCCTGTCATCGCTACCACTGAGAATAGTCTAGATCCATCCTCTTTGGAACCACCTTTCAGGGAGTTGAAAACAGCTATCAAATCTCCCCTCATTCTTCTCTTCTGTAGACTAAATAATCCCAGTTCCCTCAGCCTCTCCTCGTAAGTCATGTGTTCCAGTCCCCTAATCATTTCTCTTGCCCTCCGCTGGACACTCTCCAATATTTCCACATCCTTCTTGTAGTGTGGGGCCCAAAACTGGACACAGTACTCCAGATGAGGCCTCACCAACGTCGAATAGAGGGGAACGATCACGTCCCTCGATCTGCTGGCAGTGCCCCTACTTATTCATCCCAAAATGGCTGAATCAAAAGCTTTAATACAAAAGCTTTAATAATGTCAAAAGCTTTAATACAGCCAAGGAACACCACGTCCACTGCTTTCCCTTCATCCACAGAATCAGTTATCTCGTCACAGGAAAGTTGTAGGAAAGGTGCCTGGCAACCTCCTGTTCATAATTGTTAGGGGAAATTAACCTAGTTAGCATATGTGACTCCATTTTGGGTTTCCTCTCGGCCATTAACTAGAAGCAAGCACACCACGTACCAAGGAAGGAAGGAAGGATCCTTCAGGGTGGACAGCTGGACAGTTTCAAGAGAAGGGAAACAAAGGAGACAGGAACCAGCCGACATGCCTGAAATAGCTGCTAATTCAGCGTTTTTGCAGGGGGAAGGTGGCTGCAGGGCATTGGTGATAGATAAGGAGAAGGCCTGTTTGTTGGGTTATGCGCCCCCGAGGCACACAGGCAGGATGTTTTGTCAACAGTATAGAATCTTTGTGTAACCTGTAATTGGGGTCCCGTTCAGCTTAAGAGAATGGTACCACGCTCGAGCGTAATAAACCTACAAACTGTAAGACACTCTGCAGTCTGTCTTTATTTGGTTGCCTCAGCCTAGGAACGAACTGTACATGTCCTAACTGGAATAACTCGTAACAGTTTGGGACTCTAGGCTCGCCCTCATAAGCGAAGCCGCACTCCTTCCCTCGGATAACTCCAGCCGGTACTGGGTGAGTTCACCTTCGAGAACTTGGAGGAACGGGTGTGTGGGCTGTCGTTCAGGCGATAGGCTGGCACCTTAGGCGTTTTTTTGGTAGCCCTAGAATGGGCTCTGGGCAGAGTGTGAGCAGGGGAATCCCTTTGGCTGAGATTTTCGGGAATTGGAAAAATATTTCTGGCACCCATGGGTTAGGTGAAAGGAGAACTGTAATTTTGTATAAAGTCTAGTGGCCAGCGCTGACTATTCAGACGCCCTTTGGATGGCCACCCGACGGAACTTTTGCACAGGATGAATTAACCTGCCTTAGACAACAGCTGGAGGACAAGCATCCAGCTGAAATGGATTATTGGTATGTATGGGATAATTGGGCATACGCCCGAGATAAGAGGCGCCCCTCGACTTTGAGCTCTGGTACCAGATCTAAAGTTTGCATGCCGCTTGCAGGTTCCGCTCCGCCCTATGCTGCTTTCCCTCCTCTGTCTCTTCCCGCTACTCCTCCTCCTGTTGCCCCTCTATAGCCGTCTCTAACCCTACCCCCAGTTGCGCTTCAAGCACCCGATACAACAACCCGTTGCGACGAGCAATGACCGTGTCACTATGGTCACGGTCCACCGCCCTTTGGGCCTGGGGACCTGGTCACCTGGCAGTCACAGATGCCGAGGTTCGCGACGATCCGGAAAGAGTCCTACAGACTATCCGTTCAGTCCTTACGGCATTTAACCCTAACTGGGCAGACGTCCAGGCTATTTTGCAAACCCTATTTACCCCTGACGAGAAGTATTCTATTCTAGACGCCAATCGGCGTTGGGCGGGGGACGCTGAGAATCGCACCCCTTGGCCCGAAGCCGATCCAGGTTGGGATCCTAACGACCTCAATGGCCGGGCCAGCCTCTCAGCTGCCCGGGAAGGGCTCCTGGAGAGCATCCGTAGGGTGGGTAGTAAGACGGCAAATTGGTCAAAAATTAGAGAGTGCCAGCAAGACCTAAACGAGCATCCGTCTGCATGTTTGGCCAGCTTGTTTAAGCAGGTTAGAATGTTTGGGGGAGGGGTGGAGCCAGAAGCCGAGGTTAGCCGCATGATGATGGTCTCTTACTTTGTCGATCAAGCGGCACCGGACATAAAGAAGTATTTAACTAAACATGTTCCCGATTGGCCAGGGAAAGCCCTAAGTGAAGTAGTTCGCCTGGCCACTTTTGTATTTAATGGTAGGGGCAAGGAGAAAGCTAAGGAAAAACGTAAGCAAAAGAAGGAGGAAGTAAGTATGTTGGCAGCCGGGATGCAGCACTGACAGGGACACGGGAATACAAGGGGGAGGGGATGCGGACGTGGGACAGGATGTGGAGGAGGCTGTGGTGGGACAAGGAACGGGAACTGTAATTATTGTAAGCAACAGGGGCACTGGAAGAGGGAATACCCCCTGCTTCCACGAGGGGCTCCTTGGGAGGATCAGCCGGCGACCGGTTCCTCCTTTCCCCCTAACGCTCCCCAGGACTTCGCTAATCCCCAGTGACTAGAGGCAGAGATTTTGGGAGCCGTGGGAGAGTTGGAATGGAATCTTGGATTGCAGTCGCATATTTACTTGTAAATTGGGGAACGGTTTGTACCCTTTTTGGTGGATACCGGAGCCACCCTTTCCACTTTAACTTTTGTTCCGGGCTCTTTTTTAATACCAAGATCTGGGTGCAGGATATTGAGGGCGACCCGTGGCCGGCTCCGCTATCCTGCCCCGTCCCTGTGGAGCTGGGTTCTTTAAAGTTGTCACACAGATTTGTTGTTATGCCAGAAGGCCCCGCTAACCT